TATGGCTCTACTAGCCATGGTCTTTGTGATTCCCACCAGATTACTAGGGGGAACTATGCAAATATAAGGTGTTTATGGTCCATCAAGGGGACTTGATAGCTTGTTAGTAATGTAAATAAGGTATATGGCACCCTGTGGGAGTAACCAAAAAAACCAAACTCACCATGGAAATAAAGTATATGGAACAACAGTGTGAGGACTGGTCAGTTTTGTCATTCTAACCAAAACAAAACACACTGCCTGTCAGTCGGATCCAACTCATAATGACTTCTCCTTGGGTTTCTGAGGCATTATCATTACGGGAGTAGATTGCCCAATCTTCCTTCAGAGGAGTGGTTGGTGAGTTTGAACCACAAGCCTTCTGGTGAGCAGTCAAATGCCTCAGGCACTACACCACCAGAGCTCCTAGGCTTAAAATGAGCCCACCCTAGAGACGGAAGGGAGGAATCTCACTGTCATCAAGAAAGAAAAGCTGGAGGTGGACTGGAGTGCATCCTTGAACCCAAAAACCCTGCACTAGACCTCCTTGGCAGCAAGGACAGGAGACCCCTGTGCTGGACCTCGTTGGCAGAGAGTCAGGAGAGAGATGGTGTCAGCGGCAGCAGCAGAACCAGCTTTCACATGCATATGAGGCAACTGAAAAGAATCATAGCTTGGGTCAGATGCACTTCAGTCCTCAAAGTGACAGCTTTGCTTTTTAACACTTTAAAGGGCTCTTTTTAGCAGATTTCCCCAGTGCAATATGTCATTTGATTTCTTGAATGCTGCTTCCATAGGTGTTGATTGTGGATCCAAGTAAAATTAAATCCTTCACAAGTTCAATAAGTTCTCCATTTATTATGATGTTGCTTATTAGTCCAGTTGTAAGGATTTTTGTTTTCTTTATGTTGATGTGTAACCCATACTAAAGGCATACTAAAGATGACAGGTACTTAGAGAACATTGCCACATGTGCTCATACACCATCACATTTGATCTTCATCAGTAAGTGCTTCAAATCTTTTTCACTTTCAGCAGGAATAGTTGTGTCATCTGTCAGTTTGTGGTACTGTAGAAGCTTACATATTGCTGTGATGCTGGAAGTTATACCACTGCTATGTCAAATACTAGAAGGGCCACCAATGGTGGACAGGTTTCAGCAGAGCCTCCAGGCTCAGAAAGACTAGGAAGAAGGACCTGGTGATCTACTTCTAAAAAAAGTGGCCAGTGGAAATCTCATAAAATAGCAGCAGAACACTGTGCGTAGGGCTGGAAGATGAGCCCCTCAGGTTGGAAGGTACTCGAAATACGACCAAGGAAGAACTGCCTCCTCACTCAGGAGTAGTAAAGGGTAAAAGGATACTGGCACACACACAGATCATTAACTACTTCTATTAGGAACATGGACGTTGCTTTCACTCATATTGGAACAATATACAGAATTTAGGAGCTCTGGTAGCATAGTGGCTAAGACACTTGCCTGCTAACCAGACGGCTGGAGGTTCAAACCCACCAGCCAGTCCTCGGAAGGAAGGTTGGGCAATCCTACTTCCGTAGTGATACTGCCTCGGAAACCCAAGGAGGGGTCGCTATGAGTCGGGTTTGACTCGACGGCACATAACAACAACAACATACAGAATTTAGCAGAAAGTGATGAGTTAAGTGACCCTTGTGTCTGCTGCCCACAACACTGGTGAAGGCAACCACAACAATGACCTTAATCCCTTTGCCATGTTTCCTTTTCATGTCCATCCCCTCCCCAGGAAGCTCCTTGGCATCCAGCTATTAAACCAAAAAACCAACTCACTGCCGTCGAGTTGGATTCGACTCAGCGACCCCTCCTTGGGTTTCCAAGGCAGCATCACTACAGAAGTAGATTGCCCAATCTTTCTTCCGAGGAGTGGCTGGTGGGTTTGAACTGCCAGCCTTCTGGTTAGCAGTCAAATGCCTTAGGCACTACGCTACTGACAACACCAAGTTTCTGGGATGATGCCAAGATGACAGGCACTTATAGAATGTTGCCACATGTGTTCATATACCATCACATTTTGATGGGCTTTCTTGGTGATGTGGGGTCACTATTCCTCCCAGCTCAGTCACTAGTTGTCTAACCTAGGATAATCAGTTAAAGCTTTAAGCCTCAGCTTTCTTATCTATCAAATGAAATAACTAGATGACTTCTAAGGTACTAAGAAAAACAAACCAAACCCACTGCCAATGAGTCAATTCTGACTCATCATGACCTCCACTGGGTTTCTAAGGCTGTAAATCTTTATGGAAGCAAATTGTCTCATCTTCTTCTCATGGAACAGCTGGTGGGCTTGAACTGCCAAATTTCTGGTTAGCAGTCAAACGCTTTAAGGAGCTCTGGTGGCGTAGTGCCTAAGGCATTTGACTGCTAACTGGAAGGTTGGCAGTTCATACCCACCAACTGCTGTGGAGATGGAAGATGGGGAATCTATTTCTATAAAGATTTGCCACCTCGGAAACCCAGTGGGGGTCACTATGAGTCAGAATCAACTTGATGGCAGTGAGTTAGTCAAATGCTTTACATACAGCACCACCACAGCCCCTTTCTAAAGTACTTAGTAAGACGTTTTAGGAATTCTAGATGCAACATTCCAAACTGTGGTGAAATGAGTTCCTTTTATGTGGCCTTTTGCCTTGATTCTTTGGAAAAACAGCGTGAGAGATTTTTCTCCTAACTACCGAGGAACTGTGTTTGCCCTAGTTTTCTGCCCCAGAGAGTCTGTTACATTGGTCCAGGTTAACTGACATTTTCTTGGTAAGCTATAAACAACACGAAATTTGATACTTTTTGTCCAGCCCTGAACTGCAGCCTACCCTGTGATTAGTATGCACTTTGCAGGGACTGGACTATGAAAATAAAGCGTCTGTGGACTGCCAAATCAAGTGTCTGTAGCCTACTATGCAAATAATGTCTTTGTAGCCTAGCAAGAAAGGACTGGCCAGTTCTTGGCTGTGGTGGGAAGCATATACCTTGAAATTGATAAGGAACTTCCATATATAATGAGCCAACCCAACAGAGTTTTCAGAGACGGAAAGAAGTAGGAAGACTGGAAGCAAGACAAAGCAGAAAGAACAAAAGGCAAGAGAGAAGAAGCAAAGAGAAAGGAAGCAAGGAACCTTCTAAAATAGTTGTAATGTAGATCAAAGGCTGTTAACACTGAAGACAGTAGCAAGAGACTTGGAATAGGTCCAGTGGCAGAGCTGGAAGTGACAGGCTTGGAAGAGGCCCTATGGCTAAATCGGTGGTGACAGATGGCAGGGCCAAAAGGAACCTGTCTTCAGGGGGCCAAGAGGAGGCCTGCCCTTAGGGGCTAAGAGGAAGGCTGCATTGCCTGAGAGAAGCTGAGAGAGCTGTCCTGCCCTGAAGAAGGGAGACTTTGACTACACGTTCCCTACCTGCCTGTTGATCCTGATCCTAAGTTGTACCTTGTTGCTTCCTTAATAAACCACTTAAGTATGATCTATGAGTTCTGTGTGATGTTGCAATGGATTATCAAACCCAGAAGGGAAGCAAAGAGAGTCATTGAAGGTGTCAGAGATTAGAGTGGAGATATGTCTGACCTTCACATCACGAGAATCAGCCTTGGGCTTATCCTGGTCATTATCTCTCCTGAAGTTAGACAAGTTATGATGCTACTAGTAATACCCCTACCATTTCACGTAAGCTTTTCTTGACAATGTTCCACATAGTTCTTAGGCTTTCTTTTTTTTTTTTTTTTCCTCATTCTTTTTTTCTGATTTTTCCTCTAACATATTGAGAAATTTTACTTCAATCTCACTAGTTCTGTCTTTCATTAATTCACTTCTACTCTTTTGCCCTTCTGATACATTATCTGTTTCTGATAATGTATCAGAAAGTTTAGTATTAATCTTCTGGATTTCTGTTAGCTGCTTTTCTATCATTTCTAGTTTTCCATTTATTTGTCAATTTGTTTATGTATTATTTGGGTTTTGTTTGTTTGTTTGTTTTAATTTTTCTAAAACTTACTTGATCTTGTCTGTGGTTTCCCCAAACTTTCTCTCAATCCATTGAAGGTACCTAAATATTATTATTGTGCTTTATTTATCGGGTAGTTTTGATAGTATTTCTTCCTCTGGAAGATTCTTTGGCCCTGTATTTTGATCACTTGTTCGAGCCATGTTCCCTTGTGTGTGTGTGTGTGTGTGTGTGTGTGATTTGAAGTTAGCTGTTGCCTCTAAGATATTATAGTGTTGATTATATGTTGACTTACTTCACTTTGAATTATTGTTTCCTTTTTTAAAAAAT